CCAGTTTGTTGTTCAGAAATACTTCAACTTGTGAGAATAATGCATGCATCCAAAGGTTTGAAGGTCCAACTTGAATGTCGGCATCCACATTTCCTCCGGCCGCAGTAGTGATCTTTGCTTTAACGTATAGGTAACTGCTTGCTAAGTCGGTATAAACTCCAGAATTTGCAGCACATAAAAATTCTATAGTGTCTGAAGAAGATATGGTCGTAATAGGATCAACATCTTCCCAAAATCCTTTTTCCATTACCACTTGAGTCGGTGGAATAGAAAATAAATCGAGGTCAGATTTTGAACACATACAGGAGTCTTTATGCATTGTTTCAAGAGCCATGCCACTTTGGATTATAGTTATCGAGAAATGTTTTCTGCTTCTTGGTTGGACCGCGAATGGGAGTTTTATCTGGCGCTGCTCTTTTTATACCCTTTTTGCGACCCTTTCCGGTCATTACTTTCTTGGCAGCGTTTTTTGCAACATCAGATGCTGCTTGTTTTCCTCGTGATTTAAAAGCTTCTTGATCGACTTCTGTGGCTGCTTGCAATGCTCTTTTGCCAACAACTTTAGCGCCTTGTTTGAACAGAGGGATAGCATATCTCGCAAGGCTCTTGAAAATACTTCGATCCCATATCCCCTTTGCATACGTGCACCACGAAACCCAGCGATATTCCCACCACGCTGTTGTCTCAAGAAATGGTCTTTCAATAGTTTAGCATCCACAACTAGTCTTCCGCGCATTTTTAGATAAAGTACTGAGATCTCTTCTGTCTAAAGTGAAGTGTTGCGATTGACTTCCCGAACTCAAATGAGACGTTTTCGTTTTGGTCATTCACTTCAATGGTCTCAAAAGAATTTACTTTGACCGGTACGTATTGCAAATTACGAAAACAGGCGTGAACGGTGTTTCCATATTCCCCTTCGATATTAACGATTCGTAGTAAAGGTACTTTCACATCGCCCACAAACTGTGCATCAACGATATCAGTATAGACATACATGGAGGAAAATCCACCATTGATATCTGCAGGATAGGGACTCGACGTTTTCTTTTCAATAAGTGTCCTGGTCAAATCCCAAGACCGTTGCTAATTCTCCGGTAAACCACACAGTTGTGTCGTGTTTTACATCAACCAAACCTTTGCGAGAACTACGATTATAACTAAACTTCACTTTCGTTTGTGTTTCTTTTGACATGCCGGCATTGAGTGCTTTTGTTAGTTGCTCAATAGAAGAATATTGTGTTTCTTTAAGCACGACAGTTTGATAAGGGTTACTGCTAATTTTATACAAAAACGTTTGTTGCACTCCACGTTTTAGCGTGCTCCACGTATGTGGGTAATGCAGTTCCGTCAATGCCACTTCCCATTGGCTTGGCAAGACAATGGTTTCGGTCAATTTCACTCGAAAATTTGCCACTGTATTATTTTGAAAATAAGCCATAGAACTATTACTCGGTAACGTGAGATAAAACTGTGTTGCCATATTGAAGACCAACACACAAAGGAATACAAGTTATGAGTTTCAAATATATTTATTTCAGATCTTTTACACTCTCTGCTGGTACCCAAGAATTAAACTTGTCAGGGTAACCCAACCATTTTACATAATACTCTTTACGTTTATTACGCATGCGTGATTTTATTACTTTTTCTACTCTATAATAGTCACTGTCTGATTTGTTGACTTTCTGAAGTTCCTGTTCGTAAAATGTTCCTTCCAGTTCTTCACCGTCATAATCTACAATCTTGTAAACAGGCGGTCGTCGAGGCACGCGTTTCGTTACCGTGAACACTTCTTCAGTCCAATTGGGCAAGTATCCTTTCTTAAATGTTCGCTTTGCTTTGCTAATCCGGACTTGGTCCCCAATGCTAAACTTAAACTGGATTGATTTTTTCGACTCCTTCCCGTAGAGTGTTTGCCACACAATATTCTCGTTACTTTTATTCACATCTACCGGTCTCATACCAATACTACGATGTCGAGAATGATTATAAGATTTGACCAGTTTCTGGAGAATGTCCACGTACTTGAGCGTATTGTTCGCTGTAAAGTATTTCCACATTTTCGTCTTGAGCGTACGATTAAACCTTTCAACAATCGATGCCTTGGTTTCGTTGTACGTCGTAAAAAATCGAATGCCATGTTTCTTCAAAAAGGTTTGAAACTGTCTATTGATAAACTCCGTCCCCTTATCAGTGTGAAACATTTTCGGTTTACGGCCTTTCTTGATTATTTTCTCAAAGGCTTTGACAAGATTGTTCCAAGTTTTTGCTTTTATCACTTCAACCCACGCATATTTGCTGAGTACATCAATAACAGTTAAAACGTACTTGTACCCATTATTCTGTTGACTTAATGAATCCATAATGACTAAGTCTGCCTCCCACTCATCATCCATGGCTCCAACTATAACACGGTTACGCCTGAAGCGATATCTGACAGGTTTATGCAATGAATAGGCATCTTGCTTTTGTAACCATTGGCGTATTTTATTCCGCGATATCTCATATTTCCCTTCGTTTTTCACGGCGCGATAAACGGAATCTACGCCACCAAAACTTGCGGGGCTTTCTGGATCGTAATAGATCTGGCTTAGATATTTCTCCGCCATCGATGTCTGAGGCTTGAATTACAATTTTTCCACCACAGCAAGCAGATATACAGCGTACTTTTCGAAAAATGTTTCGAAGAGAGATTTGTGGTAAACCTTTACAGCAAGGCATCCTCACTCTTCAGAGGTTTGAACAAAATGAAACAGCCAGTAATTATAGACTGATATATAAAGCTATCAGTGTGAGTGAGAGTGTTATTAAAATTGGACGTTTACTTCGTTTATGTTTGGGAATAGTAAAAATTCGACATGCCTCGATGGTTTTTTGTACATTGTGACGAATAGATTCCTCGCTATCATTTTGTACACATACCAAAGCTAAATAGGCAATGATACAACCAAAGTTTGTTACCTTGATCTCTCTGTAGATTTGGTCAAGGTTTAGATCACGAACATTTACTGCACGATATAGATCTCGATGGCGGTCGAGAATTGTATTTATATGAAACGATAAAGTTTGCTTATCAATATCAATTTCATTTCGTTTCAACTCATCAAAAATTATATCTATGTTATCCATGATACTCTCACCACAACGATTGAACAACAAATGAGACACACAGTATTTATTTCAGTAAATATATGCAAATTTACATTAATTAACTAGCAACGTATTATTATTACAAGAGGTCTATTTTATCAAGTTCACTTGTTAAACCAAATCTACGAAATTCATCATAGGCCTCCTTAGTGTTAGATTTAGAACTATTAAATGTCTCTCCTGTTTCTTCAATCATGTACTGGTATTGTAGTGGATTACTGAAGAGCACGATGCCCGTGTTGGTCACCCGAGGGCCTTGTTGCTTCCATTCGAAGAAACCACAACAGTCGTCCTTCGGACAGCAGTAAAACAGACGGTTTTGATTCGGACCATCTTTCTTGACTTTTCGTTCACAGCACACCATTCCATGTTGACATAACGGTCTTGGACCTTCGAACACGTCTCCCCATTGCCAGAACTTGCAGGGATTCTTTCGCTCAGAACATACGAAGAAAGGTCGTCCGTAGTTATCTTTCATTGTGTCTTTGACTACACATAACTTGGCAAATTTCTGATGTGTAGAACATACGGGATGTATAGAACCACTTGCACGAAACGCAGCTACAGCTCTCGTATACATATAACAATTTTCGTCTGGGCAAAAAAACTCACAGCTTGGTTTTTCCCCACAAAACCAAAATGTACCATTGTTTGTAGTTGTAGAGGCAGCAGCTTTTCCGTGTAGACACTCCATGACTGATGTAGAACTATGCTTGTTACAAGACGCTTGTCGATTTTATACAGACGCTCGTTAAATCAAGCAACCAATCATAGTAAGCCAACATTAATCCCTCCATTGTATCATACACGTGGAGAGACGCTAAAAAATGCCTAGTCAGCAAGTTTCGCCCGATCTTGTTTAAACCTGCCCGCGTGACGTCATTGCATATAATTATGACGTATGTTAATGAGTGACGTCATTACTTCTCCTCAATTGGACGAGTATTAATTATAAATGAGGTGGTGGACACCCACCACCTCAAAACTCCACCACCTCACACTCCACCACCTCACACCACCTCATCCACCACCTCAAAAATCCGGATCAAAAACCACCTACTATACTACTGCTTTGTGTTCGGCAAGTTTCATCTTTTAATTTTCATCATTTCTTTGATGAAAATACTCTCCAACCTGCAACGATGCGTAGTTTCGGTGCTATGTTCTTGATGCTGTTTTACAACACAAGAATGTGATTTTTACACTGCAGCCAAGGTCGCTACGGTGAAAAGTATGCTCTGGGGATATGTAAATTTTGTCTGCCTTTGTTAAAGGAATGCGAGAACAAGCTTTCAACCGCGTACTCCGTACCCGCTGTTCGTTGTCGGGATCTTAAACTCCCTACTAACAACAGGAAGGGATACCAATAGACCTACAAGAAGAACATAGGCTATTATTTTCCATGTACTTAATCTGTCCGTATCACTGAAAACGAATTCCGTAACTTAAGAGGATTTAAACGCAATGATGGAAGATGATTTGCGTATTTCAAGTGGTAGACAATATATTCCAAAGCTTTGCAACACGATTAAAGAAGGAGTCTCTAAATAATGAAGTATACGGAGACGGTGTACTTGATACAGATTCAAACTATCAGTAGAGCTTCTTGTGCAACCACTCGAGACTTGTAAGTAATCTTCAAGCTGTACATTAAATGAACCGCCGCTCATATACTTAAAAACAAAGCATAAGTCACGGCACTCCAACCTGTACGAAATAGGAAGCAGGTTGAGACTAATCAAGCGAGACTTGTAGTTGGGTCGGACATAATAATCTTTTGTTTGTGATGTTCCTCTGAGTGTGCATCCACACCGAGCAAGCTGAAAAGTTTGCTTGGCCACGGTGGGAATCGAACCCGCGACCTTTGGGATACTAGTTCAATGCTCTGCCAACTGAGCAACGTGGTCAAGTTGGTTCGAGTTGATGATATTTCGGAACCGAGTCTCGTTCCTTCGATATGCACACTCAGAGTAAAATCACAAAGAGTAACATCACAAAAATCATATTCACCTGAGTACATAACACCAACACACACAAAATAATCATATCATAGCGGAATACACTGATATCGAAGGAACTAGACTCGGTTCCGAAATATCATCAACTCGAACCGACTTGACCACGTAACTCAGTTGGCCGAGCATTGGACTAGTATTCCAAAGGTCGCGGGTTCGATTTCCACCGTGGCCAAGCTTTCAGTCAGCAAACTTTTCAGCGGCTTGCCCGGTGTGGATGCACATTCAGAGTAACATCACAAACATCATATTCACCTGAATACATAACACCAACAAACACAAAATAATAATAAACTTTTCTGCAATGGGGATGAAACGCGTAGCTCGCCTCTGCACACTCTCCAATAGTTTTAATTCCGTTTTGCATGACTTGGACAGCGGAAGACAAAAAAATATATTTGAGTACACCGATTAAAAATTAAGAATGATGGCTAAAATGTGGAGAAATTTACAAAAAAATTAGGGGGAAAATGGAACAAAGAACGATGGTTAAACACAAAAGAAATTTTTTGACGTTGTGCCTACTGTGTGAAGCAAAATAAAGAAAGGCAAAATATGCTAGTAGATATTTTGATGTGTTTTTTTTTTACCTTTGTCGGAAGAGAAGCCAACATTACTAATTCCTTGCTGATGTTTAGTTTCCAATGCAGGCTTATTCTTTAACGTGACCCATGTCAAGCCATCCAGTTCTTCTCTTGGGATCGGTTTAGTTAGGAGACTTAATGTGATGATGGTTGTCACAGTCACAACAAACAGAATTATTCCAAGAAAAGAAAAATAAAGCCTGCGTTATTAGATACCTTACGATTGGCGAAGCTAAACATGCATGGCAACTGGTCATGCTATTGATGAAACTATTTTTAAAACGCTCGGTAGAAATGTTTGGCCACTGTGCCTCTTGTGTTCTAAGTTTAACTGTATATTCTTTAATTTTTGGACAAATTTCTCTTAACGGATGATTGTTTTGTTTACACAGCTTTTCAAACAGCTTTCTATCTGTCTGCTCTAACAGTATATTAATATCTATTTGTTCTGATGTGTATCTTCTTTTATAACAACGAGTTAAGAAGTTTTGAATAGTTGTTAACTCCGGCGGTGATGCAGCAATGACTGATAAGCCATATGTAAGTTGTGACAGGACCAGTGACCTAAAAAGAAGATCTAATTCGTCTTGACTGTATTCTTCATTCCTCAGCTTTCGAATTACTAACAAGCATTTATTTGCTTTCACCAACTTTTTCTTAATACATTTCTCAAATCTGCTTGTCATTTCAAAGGTTACCCCCAGTATTTCAAGACTAGAGTGCCGTTCAAAACCATAAATTGGTGATACACAATCCTCTGATCGTCCTTTCTTTAATATAATCATTTCTTTACATTTACCCTCATTTCTAAAGTATCATATTTCTGCGTGTGTTGGTGTTATGTACTCAGGCGAATACAATGTTTGTGATGTTCCTCTGAGTGTGCATCTACACCAGGTAAGCTGAAAATTTTGCCTGACCACGGTGGGAATCAATCCAACGACCTATGGGATGCTAGTCCAATGCTCTACCAACTGAACTACGAAGTCAAGTCGGTTCGAGTTGGTGATATTTCGAAACAAAGTCTATATAGTTCCTTCGATATCATTGTATTCTCAGATATGATAAATTCTGTGCGTGCTGGTGTTATGTACTCAGGTGAATATGATGTTTGTGATGGGTGAGCGAGCTGAAACGTTAGCCTGACGACGGTGGGAATCGAATCTACCCGAGTAGCTACACAACACCAAAACACACAGACATCATCGTATCTCTGAATACATTGATATCGAAGGAACTAGACTCTGTTCCGAAATATCACCGACTTGACCTCGCAGCTCAGTTAGTAAAGCATTGGACTAGTACCCCAAAGGTCGCGCGGGTTCGAATTCCACCGTGGTCAGGCAAACTTTTCAGTAACATCACAAACAACATTTCTAAAGGTTTGAATGATGAAAATCATAAAAAAATTTTATATAACGTCCAGTTTCTATGGCTAGGGGAGTGGTCATTATTTATGGGGATGGGGGTTGGGAAATGGGAAAATAAGGATTGAAAACTTTTTTGATCCCCCCTCCAGACTGAAGGCAAACTTTTTGTGCCTCCTCCCTCATAAAAATAGAAACTCTTCTGACCCTCCCCCCCCCCAGTGTGGATTGAAAAATTAACAGCAATGAACCAGGTGTGCGTTGCAGGTAAAGTGAGATATTAGGACAATCTGTTTAATCTAGCTCATGATGTTTTACCCTGGTGGATATGATCGATTCAACCATATATGATTAAAAAATATATATTATGTGTTGCTACTTTGCAATGCAACATTTGTCCTACCATAACCCTAACCCATGACCCGTCTTCATACAGCGAAATGAATTGAACACAGGGTTTTTTAAGAACTTGTCTGGGGGGTGAGCATCTACAAAAAGGGACCGTACTATATTGAGTGTGTAGAGATGACAGATGGTTGTTGGTGACAAAAAGTTTGGTGTCGTATATCGTATGTACTAGTAGGGGGGTCTGGAGTATTCTCCCCCAGAAACTTTTTTGTATGTTTTCACCCCTAGACTGAAATGTGAGCATTTTTTGAAACAGATTTTTGGATAAACAGCGTTACATTGTGCGTTGATAGACCGAATCTGATCAGTTGCATGGTATGTTTATGTAAATACCACAACTGGGTCACTCAGGGGGTAGAAAGCTTGTTAAACTTAGTGGGCCCGACTCCCACGATCGCGAGGCGCTACCATCGTTGGCGCCGAGCAGGGAAATTTTGAAAATTTTGAGTCCCTAGATTGTTGGAAATAGCATTTTCAGAGACTTCTTTTTTGCTATTTGTGATTATAGAAATCAGAAATCTAGACATGGTATTTAAATTCAAAAACTTTTATGACCCCCCCCCCCCTTCTCTGTGTTAAAACTTTTGACCCCCATTTATAAGGATAAGACTTCGTTTGCGCCCCCCTCCCATTTCCCAACCCACCCCCTCCCCATAAATAATTACCACTCCCAAGGTTCGCCAATGGCTTACGGCAGACCGTTAACCGCAAACCTCAAATCGCATATATTTGTACACTTACCAAAGTACATATAGTGTATAGAAGCAAACGCTGGTCGTGTGTCGGGCTCGCCACATGCAGGACTGGCATAGATATATTCCGTAATAAATCTCGCTGCTGCTAATAAGAAGCCAATCAGAAAGCCTCCCAGAGCGCCAGGCTCATTGGCTCGTGGCCAGACTAATCCCACGATGAATATGGCCATGATAGGTGAGCCGAATAGGAACAGGACGGTTTGAAGGTAGCGAAATAGCTTGCCACTGCCTCCCCCTTGAAAAATATAAGTAGATATGTATGTGTTGTTGGTGGGCACAATAGATACTAAATATGACGTTTAATTTTATATGTCTGTAATTTTCGCATGTTATGCATTCAGGGCCGTGGTTACCAGTGGTGTAAGGGAGAATGTAACCCCCTCCCCCCCTCCCCCAATGTTTGTTCAAGCTTATTTTTAGGCAAATTTCTTGATGATTTGAGCTGTGATTTTTGCAAATGGACCTCTGTGAATAAGGATTTAAAGCATTTCATTTTCTCACTTTCAATCAAAGGCATCCAGACGAGACCCAGGACCACAAGGACAGCGACAATAGCTCGGCCAACCATAAGTTTTTCTCGGTCACTTGCCTAAAGAATGAACTCGGTGAGTCATATACAAATTATCTTAATTCACTTTAAAAAAGTGTATACGACATAAAATTGTCTAAAATGAAAGAACTGTTTAAAGCTGTAGTGTAACTTATTTTTCAGTTTCTTGTTTTTATGGTTTGTTCCCGAGATATTTCAATTTGTTTGATTGCAAATGAATGTGAATATGTCCGCTAATTTATGGCGTCACGTTGGTTGCAAGCTCAACTTACACTGGTTATAAATCTATTAACTCTGAAAACTGTAGATATCAGTTCACGTTTTTCTCCAGCGTTTCATCACATTGACCAGTGAGTGAAGTTTGAAATTATTATCCTGGATGATAGTAGTGATATTCAAACATTTTGAGGAGCTTGCAACCAACATGACGTCATAAATTAGCGGACATCTGAAAAATACGTCACATTACAGCTTCTTTCATTCAGGAAAATAAGAAATTTCATATCATGTGCATTTTAATCTGCCAGGCAAAGCAAGACAAACTTTTGCTAATTTCTCATCCAATTTTTATCCAAATTTAACCAAAATTTAATCAATAGACCTTATGCATAATGACGTCACAAGGCTTGATTCCCGCGAGGAATGCTGGTCTTGGTAGTCATCGCCCGGGAAAATTAAACAATTCAAAATGGCCACTATCGAAATTTTCCCAGGTGATGACTACTAGGACCAGTATTCCTCGCGGACATCAAGGCTTGTGACGTCATTATGCATAAGGTCTATTTGTTCTTGGGCAATGTACATTAATCTCACAAGTTTTCGTATCAATACATTTGATATTTTTTGAGTTATCGTAATTCTGACCATAGACAATCCAGAAGACAAACTTCTGGATTGTCTATGTTCAGACAAACGCACACACACAGAGACACACATACCAACAACTAGGCATGAGAAATTATCCAAATTTGTGAATTCACTGCATTCGCGCGAGGTCATTCTTGGTGTACCAAATGAAATGTATAATTACCCTTGGTCGTATTCTTTGCCATATATCTATAGTAAATATTGTACTAGCACTGTTGTACACTGAGGATAGTGATGACATTACTGCCGCTAACATTACTGCCATCAATACTCCGACCATCCCTGTAGGTAACAGATTGAATACCAATCTAGAGGTGGTAGCAAATTGATTGAGTTTATTGATTGTATACATCCGGATAAATGGTTTAGTAATTACCTATGATAAACAGAGTTTGAATATATATCATCATGACATCACCACATGTCTGCATCATCATCATCATCATCACCATCATCATCACCACCATCATCATCACCATCATCATCATCATCATCATCACCACCATCATCATCACCATCATCATCATCATCATCATCATCATCACTATTATCATCAACAACAACAACAACATCGCCAACAGCACCACCACCATCATTACTACCAGAATTATCTTGGATAAGCTAAGTTTGAACATCCTGATTTATTTCCCCATGCTATGTGAAGCTTTCAACGTAACATAGGACGCGCAATGGACCATTCCCCAATTAACCAAAATTTTGAACTCAACAAGTCTAGACATCACAGCTTGAAAGAGTATCACAAAATTAGTAATATTCCAAAGTTTCGTTGCGGAATGTTGTAAAATGCGGATAATATAGCCTTGCGAAGTTTGCGATTTTCAGTCATTTTAGATTACAACTAAAACGGGAAATGGAATTACCACTTCTGTGCGTAATACAAAATGACTGAAAATTACAAACTTCGCAAGACTATATTATCCGCATTTAATTTACAACATTTTGCAACGAAACTTTGGAATATTACTAATTTTGTGATGCTCTTTTAAGCTGTGATGAAATTTTTGTTTAGGCTAGTTAAGATCAAAATTTCGGAAAAGTGGTAACCATTTCCCGTTTGTAATCTAAAATGACTGAAAATTGCAAATTTCGCAAGGCTATATTATCCGCATTTTACAACATTTCGCAACGAAACTCTGGAATATTACTAATTTTGTGATGCTCTTTCATGCTATGATGGAATTTTGTCTAGACTTGTTGAGATCAAAATTTTGGTTAATTGAGGAATGGTCCATTCTATCGTTATATAACATCATATCACCATCATCATCACCACCATCCTCACCACCACCTTCCCCATGATCGCCACCACCATCAACATAACCACTACTACAATCATCATCAGCATCATGGGGCTTCGGTGGCGAAGTGGTTAGCGCGCTTGCCATTCACCTCTAAGGTCGCAGGTTCAAATGTCAATGAGAATTTCTCAATGTGACTCGAACCCAGTCCTCGTGTGAAAGGAGTAAAAGTCAACGCTCTGCCGAAAGTCGTGGGTTTTCCCGGGTACTCCGGTTTCCTTTCACAGGGAAAGTTGACAGGATGGCTTTGGCACATAGGTTAGGGGGGGGGGGGGGGGGGAGATCATTAATGATATCTGGACTAATAGCGGCTGCTCAAGGCGCTATTTGTAAGCTCACAGTCTACCTCGGTCTGCTTTACGCCAGTTCCGGCTGCAATTGTAATGTGCACTTGATCATATACATATGTAAAATCACACAATAGAAATATTAAATATTAAATATTATTATTATTACATTGTCATCATCAGTACCATCATCGTCATCACTACACATCCAAACTTACTTTCTTGTGCTCTAGCTGTTACAGCTCCTAGCGTCAGAACATGCAACATCGTCTTTAACTAAAAGACCACTATAATCGTTATCACCATCACCATCATCACATTACCATATCGCCATCAGCTAATCCACAATCATCACCACCACCATCCTCGTCATCATCACCATAATTAGCTTGGATAAGCTAAGTTTGAACATCCTAACTTATTTCCACACACTCTCTCGCAGCTCTCGGCATCAGGACATGCGACATCATCTTTATATAAAACTCGGCTGATCATTCCAGGGAAGACCATAATAAACATGGGCAATATCTTGAGAAATCCAGCAAATATTGTCCCGCCTTTCGCGTATACGACATTCTTGGCTGCCAAAGCACGTTGAACCATCACCTACAAAATATGGCAGTGAACCTTCAGGTCACTGAGAGGGTCCTGTTGGGGGGAAGAATAGGGTTTCGCTCGTCAGACGTTTAAAACTTACAATGTCACAGTATTGAAAGGTTGCCTTGTCGCTTTCATAATTCTTCATATCGTTCTCGTGTCATATATATCCACCTTACACAGCGTTTGTGTCGTGTGTCCATTTCAACGGACTTCGATGTCTTGGATTTTGCATTAACGACGGATCTAATTCCTAAAAGCTTATTGCTACATCTTACAGCCCTAAAGTATGCGTTATCTATCTGAGATCGCAAAAATTATTTGAAAATGAGCCTGCAAAATGTCTGCATGATAAAGAGAAATCAAGAGATGATGCATGGAACCATGAGTTATGACTGGGAGTAATGACTTCTGTTGTAATTTTAAAGACTTTAAAAATTTCAAATGAATGAAGCGGGATACGTCCAGACTTACACAAAGAACAACGGATCGAAATCTAATAGGTGATTCCAACTATAGACTAAATTTTGATATGTTTTGATACGAAGTCCAACACCACAGCTAGAAAGAGCGTCTTAAAATGAGTAAAACTGCAAAACCATTGGTTGCTAAATGTTGTAATAAAGAAAATATAGCCCTGTGAAGTTCGCAAATTTTGTATATATTTGTATTACGCGCGGTAAAAATAACCACTTTCGCCTCAAAAATGGTTATTTTTTCCGCGCGTAATGCAAATATATACAAAATTTGCGAACTTCACAGGACCGTATTTTCCTCATTTTACATGCAACAATTCGCGACGAAACTTTGCAATTTTACTCATTTTAAGATGCTCTTTCTAGCTATGGTAATGGATTTCGTTCTTCTTATCTAGTTCAAAATTTCGTCTATAGCTGAAGTCGTCCATTGTGGTACTTTAAGGATTTTAACCAGCAACAAAGATTTTAATAGACTAGTACAGTATAGTAACAGATTACGGATTCAAAGTAAGACGCATAATTAAATAAAATAAGAATTTTAGAAAGATAAAATCTATTTTATATCTTGCGTTGAAAAATTAATTTTGGGAGAAAAAAGCTAAGAATAACAAATATTTTTTGAATCGGTTTATGCATGGTCCATACTCTGTGATGCAGCTCAGTGCCTGTTATATAAAAAAACTACGGAGGAAGTCGCATAAATCAAATAAACCATAATTATGAAGAAAAGCTAAGATAATCAAACAATATCTAAACACGCATAGGCGTACGGGCACAATTCTATTTGGGGGGGCAAACAAAATTTGCCCGAATTTTTAAGCTGATGACAAAAAATGCCCGAATTTTGATCAGACTTTTTATTTGATTTTACAAATGAATTATCTAAATTTTAACAAGCGCATTGAACATTTAAATTGGACGTTTACAAATGAGTTTACCAATTTTGAAACCTGGTTAAAAGGTTTCACTTAGAAAAAATAGCTATCTCGTCCATTTCGTCTACCAAAAGTGTCAATTATTTTAACCATGTCGTTCTTAATAATTCGGTTAGCATATGCTCGTTCAATGTTAATGACAGCGATAGAATTCAAGCGTTCTTCGCCCATTGTCGAGCGGAGGTAGGTTTTCACGCGCCGCAATCCACTGAATGACCTTTCAGCAGTACAGGACGTAGCGGGAATCGACGCAAGAATGGTTGCTGCCTCGTATAATACAGGTAATAAGTCGCATAGTCCATCCTGAAACATTTTGTCGACAACGTTTGCCGCAGTTTTCGCCCGAGGATTGGACTCGTCCATGATGGAATTTTGATACATACTCTTCTCCACTTCAAGAAGATCCCTATCGACATTGTAAAACTCTGCCACAGCATCAAAGCTGTTTTCTAAAGGTGAGTCGTTTAGCACAACGTCTCCCAAAGCACACAAAATTTCTTGATCGTTGTTGTGAAATCGCGATTTCATTTCGCTAAGCACTTTGTCGAGAGATAGGTAGAATGTATTGATGCGATGATGGGCTTTCGGCGTTGTCACACACGCGGTATTCGTGGATTCACCGATAAGTGCTTGCAGGCGAAGGGATGGTTTGTTCCGCAGTGCCCTTGCCTCTTTGAATACGAAACGAGATCCCTTGATGTCCTTTTTCATTTCATTGGACATGATCTGTGCTCTTTCCCACAAGAGTTCAAAATTCTTTTCGTTGCGACATTTATGGAGCGTGTTGATCGTGAGATCAGCATTTCTTTTTGCAGTGATAACGTCGAGGCCTTTCCCTTGTAGATAGTTACTTAGACTGCTTGTATTTGATAATATCACCTTCAGAAGAATCAAGCCAAATACGAATTCAAAATCACAAATGGCATTCAAAATGGCAACGCTGTCCGTGTACGTCTTAGTATCCTTATCCTTTGTTAAAATGAGAAGAGCTTTGATAATTTTCGGCATTTGCTCGCTGACTGCTTTTACTGCTTCCCATCTGCAGGACCATCTCGTTTCACTCAAAGATTTTAGTGTGAGAACAAGGTGATCACCATCAATCTTAACAGAATTAAACACGGCATGACGTTTTGGACTTGCCTCCAAGAAATTATACAGACTTTGTAATGTCCCTAGTGCATTTCGGAGTGGCTGCACATCACTCATAGTGTCTTGCAGTGCCAAGTTAAGGATATGCGCGTAACAATGTATATATACTCCTCGCGGTGAGCATTCTTTCATTCGTGCCGCTACGCCTTTCCGAACGCCACTCATATTGGATGCACCATCGAAGCACTCGGCAAAAATATCCTCTAACTTCAAGCCACGTTCAGTGATGACCCTCTTTACAAGTTCAAATAAAACTTCGCCTTCTGTTGATGCTGTCGAAAAAAATCCGATGAAAGTCTCTAATGTTTTGCCAGTCAAAACATACCTTAGGCAGATTGATACCTGCTCTATGCGGCTAATATCTGAAGTTTCATTCATGATTAGAGCAAAGTTACGGCTTAATAGTACATCCTGATTGATTCGCTCGACAAGAAATCTAGATATAATTTCTAATATCTCATTCTGAATAGATGGCGATGTCCACTGAGCGTGAAGCTTAAGTTGACTTTGTAGCTTTTCGTCGAGCCACGGGATGTCATCGCATCTGAGGTGTAATAATTCCAATAGGTTTCCTCTATTTATGTCGGACATTTTGCCGATATCATTTCTGTTTTCCTCGTGTCCTCGTAAAGCCACGTTTTGCTGTGCATTATAGAATATGCTGGTAATGATTATACGTAAATACTCGCGGTTGCGTAGAACATCTTTTTGATGAGCGTCTGTTAATTGTTTCATTACAGATGTTTTGTGCTTTGCACTGATCCTTGAGTTGATCCACTTGGCCATTGCGTTTTTGTGAACACCACTCTTTGTGTGCTTTTTGAGCCTGTCACTTCTTTTCCAGTTATCGAAAGTGAACGTATTATCTCTCATGAATTCTCTACACGCAAAGCATACACACTGACGGCGTTCAATGTCAAAACTAATCCAAGGATACGTTTTGTACCATTGTGGATTAAAATCTCTACTTGTTTTTTCATTCCCGAACTTCTTTCGATTGTATCCCTTCAGTATAGGTTGTTTTGGTGCACAGCATGGAGTTGGGGAGGTGATTGAAGACTGAGTTTGATGGAAATCTTCTCCTGAGCCTTGCAAGTTGAAGGAAGAGTTAGACGAGTTGCTTGACGACTGGTTGTGGCAAACGTTTTCTCTCGAGTCTTGAGCTTTGGAGAAGGTATTTGACCAGTTATCAATGATGCGGTTTTCCGTTGAATCATGCATGTTGAAAGAAGTGGTTGAAGGCTGAGTAGAAGTGAAATCGTCTGTTGAGTCCTGCAGGTTGAATTGAGTGTTTGAAACGTCAATGAGAGTGACGTTCTCCTTTGGATCCTGTACTTTGGAAGCAATGGCTGACGAATGACAAGGAGCGATGTCCCGCACGTAAGAGGAGGTTGACGTCATATTGGAAGTGATATGACTGATATCCTCATCTACTGGATGTGGAAAATGACAGTAAGTGTTATCTGTGCTAGATATTGGTGAACAAGAAACGCTTTCACTGCTTTTCGTATCAGGCATTGAACGCTTGGGTGGTTTTGCTCTACTAACGAAGAAGTCACTAAGTTGTGGCTGATGCGCGTCGACCACAACACTAAATTTCACTTTTTCACCCTTGTGCACTTTTTTAACATGGTCGTCTTTATAGTCCGAGTCAATTTCTTTCTTGCACGTTTCACAAATGATTCACTGCCTATAGTGTCGTTTACGTGACTTCTCACGATTGACTGACAATGACATGGTAACTTATAACCTAAAACGATTGTAATCGAAATGGCTTTTTTACACTGGTTTTAAACCAGGGATGGATTCACTGGGGGGTGCTGGGTTGGGGGAAAGAGGTGTGCACCCCCTAGCCCTGGCCAAAGGGGTACAGGGGGAGTGCTATTTTTCACGATAAAGCAAGAAATTACTAGAGACAAAATGAGATGCAGTAATTTGAGTAATAACATGATGATAAGCGAACTGTGAACAACAATTACAATTCAAATACAGTGGTTAAGCAAGACTTTGCAGTAGTGAAGCAAGTTGATGGGTGGGCGGCACACATGACCGACACAACTCGGCACCAGAGCTGGCAGAGACCCCCCTCCCCACCCACCCTACCAGATCATGCTGGATCCATCCCTGGTTTAAAAACCCAGAATATTACAATATTGCACGATCTAATCCATTATTTTTGAGATGACGGAATTCTGAGTTACTCCACATTTGCAAGCTGAAAAAAACGCTTGACCTGCGACTATTGGTTTGCATCTCCAATGCCCTGCCAACGGAGTTATATAGTAGGTTAACTAGCAAAACAAAGATCGCTGGTTTGATCTCCCCCGCAGTCAACAAAATTTCAGCTTGCCCGATGTGGAGACACTCACAATAGAAACATCTTAAATAACTTTACCTGAGTTCAAATACCCCAATCATTAAATCTAACCCAATATGTTTTTGTTTGTAATCAAACAAAAAATTATAATGTAAACTTAAAATTTTCCGGCCGACATTAACTCAATGTTTTTTTTTATGTTAAAAGGAGCCAAATACACACATTAAAACGTGTTATAGCAGCAATTGTGTATTGCAACACTGAATATCATTCGTACCTGGATTATAATAGCATATTATTCGTACCTGGATTTCCTACTTTAACCTTTATACTTCACAAGTTCATCGTGCTTCTATCGGATATCAATTTTATTTTCTTTGTTGTGTGTCATGATATACTTCATGTTACAGTCGCAATTAAATGTTTAATGACTTTATTGCAGGCGTTTGCCTGAAAACCCCGACGGAAAAAGCGGTTTGACAGATTTTCAGCACTGTCCAAATATGCTGTCGTTACCAACGACATACAAATACTCTCAAATAATTTTCATGTTTTGGCTAATAATAGGCTTGAAGCAATCAGCAAGTAAATATTATTCATATTCACATATTGTTTTATAATATCCATACTATGTGGGTTCAAACATGCTTTCTCCAGTTTTGTCAACCAAGTGGCAACTGGCAAGTGTAACCCAGTATTTACTATGTGTTTATTCAAAATTTGAATTGTTGATTTTAACTAATATTTGACGGAATTGAAATGAAACAAGACGCTCTATAGAGCGTTAACTCGCTGGGGCTATACAAGTGAAAACTAAATTTGTCACTATAGTTGCTCATAATTTGGTAACCGGTACAGGAAAACAGAACAATTTACAGAAAATTACAACAGATTGCGGAAGTGGGAAGGTTCTTGTATTTTGACTGTAATATACTGCAAAAGGTAGCCATTACCAGTAAGTTAGTACAGTAGCGCTAACATCAAGTTTTGCTGCTGCTGCTACCTAGTACAGTTTACAGATATAGACAAGTATAATCAACTCGAATACAGTTTAGAGCGAGACTCTATTGATTAGAACAGTTCAGTTAGCAATACTTGCAGATACGCATCGAAGTATCATTATGCAACTAGTAAAAGAATTACAGATTTTTCTACAGTATACATCGCATTAGAACAATATTCTGAAACAATCACTAGGACTATTTGAAGTTTAAATATTCAATGTGAGTATGAATTATGATTATATAATCACGGAACAAATCTTGCATCTGAACAAAGCAAATTTGGCAAGTTGTTTAATGCATGGAAACCATTTCTGCAAGCTTTAATAATGTTTATTTTTTATGAAGCGTCGATAGTTCAATTTCATTGATTTACCAGTACTCGGTCCAGTAGAAATGGCGATGTTCGTTGTAAGGGTACCAATAATGAAGGATAATCAATATACGTTAGTCTTGTCCTCAAATAATTAACAGTCGTATTTCAAGGAACTTGTGAAATCGCAAACAAATCCACTTTAATAGCAATATTAATTGACTGGCGACTGGCGTACAAATTCACGAACAATTCATAGCGTCAATTCCGGCCCGTGATCAGAATAGTGGAGACACCACAATGAAGTTCGTGTACACATATCATCATTTCAATTAATAGTCGAACATATTTCGTTGTATAAAGTGATGTGTTGAACATTTTTCTACAAAATAAAGAAATGAAGAATTACAGTATATAAGAAAAATAAGGTTCCAGGTCTTAGTTGAATATAAAAAAACTTGACAGTGTGTCAATATATAAACATATTTAATTGGATTTGCCCCAGAGCTACAATAAGCTCATCGATATAGAGACAGCGTATACATAAGATCGTTTGTTTGCGCACAGCGCGCTCCCCTTGACGGGTAAAATCGTCTGCCATTAGACAGAGTAAGTGGGCCGTATTGTCTCTTAAAGGAGTGAATATAAATCCTTTTACTCATTATACATAATCATAGGAAGACTAAGTATAAATCATAACTACTTTGGGACATACCTTAACATAATTGGTGATAATTCCCCGAACTGTCTCATTTCAAACTTTCAGTCCTAAAAGAAAACATTTTGAGTGATGTATTTGAACTTACAGCGCATTTGAGCTGCATAGTGTACTATACTAAGTATAGTCAATGTACATGTTGCATCTAGCTTCAATTTAAAAATGATTGAACATACCTTGTTTGCATGGAACTGCAGGAGACTCCTCACGTCAGTCTCTTTGGGGATGTACCAGAATTCCCCATCCCAGTCTCTCCTAGACTGGATTTTCATTTCAGCGATTTTTTAATATTCGATTAGTTTTTCTGCTGCAATTAAATAGTGCGAGTTTAATGGGTTATATACCGTAACGTTATTGAAACTACTGGCGTAATACTACATGTCAAAATTTTTAATGAAACTACTTGTCAAAATCTTACAGTTACCTTAACAGCCTCATGATCTGAATAATACACACTTACAACGTTTGCTTCTATTTTATTGCTTATTGACTGTTTTACGTAAACATGATCGAGAAGACTTCCGGATGAAACAAATGTTGGTTTACTTACACGTTGCACATAATTTAAAGACTCGGCGAGTACTTTCAATGAAGAAATGTTCTTTTCATTAAAGTAATCAATATTGAAATCTCCAAATATAACGTCAATATCCAAGCTAGTTATTATGTAATCAAGGCAAGCTATGAATTGCTGAATGTTACCTCCGTGCTTACGATAAAGCAGTAGACAGGATAAGGTATTCCCACCGGAGTTATTAAGTAAAAATCGTAAACCATTTATTGAAGTGAAATATTCTGTATCACACAGTGTAATAATGTCTTTGTAGCAAACAGCTAGACTTAAGAACTTGTCAGAATTATGATCTTGTCTGTGTATAGAAAAATCGTTGAGGATTGAGTTAATATCATCATTTGGTACACTGGTTAAAAGTTGAGTTTCTGTAAGGGCAAACACATCACATTTGGACAAGATTGGGTCATTACTTAGGTCAAGACTGTGTTTTTTAAATGATCTAATATTTAAAAGACAAATTGAGACAGTTTCTATGTTACATAAATCTGTTGTAATATGCGGGTGGAGACTCGAAGTTTCACGCAATCTCTCGTATTCTCCCTGGACTTTAGGATTAGCTCGAATATGTTTACTTTCAAGTGTTCCTAAAATATGCAGGCCATTTAAAGACGTTGCTCGACTAAGTGCTACATATACCTGACCATAGTTAAAATACCTTTGCTTCTTTAAATCAAAACTGACGACAATGTTATCTAGAGTTAATCCTTGTACTTTATGAACAGTGCATGCCCATGCAAGAGTTACAGGAAATTGTAATCTTTGCATTTCAGGAGATGATGGTTTTTCTGGTCTGACTTTAATTCTCGCCAATACAGGTTTGATAGGAACAAGATTGTTTTCTCTTGCAAAACTACTGGACGAATTTCGTATAGCAGATATTCCAGCGTTACTGTCATCAAATTTAACAAAAATTGTGGAGGGTTTATTACTAACATTGTCAACAGAAACTTTTATTACTGTACCTAACTGCCCATTAATTAGCCGATCGCTAATATCTACGTTGGTTGTGAGCATAACTCTTGCATTTTCTTTGATCAGGATTTTAGTGTCAAGCCCTCCAGTTTCGGATCTTCCTTTAGACAGCACTCTATCGATATCCTGTTTTCTAACATGAGGTGGGAATTGATCTAAAGCTTCTAAAACGTACTGTGGTGATTGAATTTGTTGTAGGCGATCAATATTGTACTCATCTACTGGTGTATTTTCTGCAAAGATGTGTAATGCATCCGATGGATAATTTTCATCCCCTGGAGTTATTGTTCTGGATTGAATACACCTGATATCATCGTCTGTATGTGAAGCGGTGCGCACTCTATTTAATAGTTGAGTGAAGGCGAGGTCATCTTTTTGTCTCATGATCTGTGTTAGTTCTGCCATTTTAAAGACATGCCAGGGATGGTACAGATTGAATGTATCATTCTTATAATTTGAAAATGTTGTTGCGCTTCGAATTGGTGGTAGCTGAAAGAAATCTCCGAAAACAAGTACACTGATTCCTGCAAAAAGTTCACTGTTAGGTGTAACAAATATTTCTTTCAATCTCTGGTGAATATGCAGCAGACCCATGTTTGAGACCATTGATATTTCATCAATTATGATTAGTTTCAATTCAGCTAAAGACAATCTCATTTGTGTTCTTCTCTGATCAGACATTGCAGGCACATTATTACCACACTCTCTTGGAATGGCCAGTGCAGTGTTTACGGTTGTTCCGTTGATATTTATGGCAGCTACACCAGTTGGAGCCATTAGCAATACAGAAGGCAATTCAGGATTCATTGGAGCATGTCTAAAAGTTTTTGTAACAGTATGATATATAGCTTTAATTAAGTGTGATTTCCCTGCACCTCCACCTCCAGTAACAAAAACATGTATCGGATCTACTTTAGATGGTTTAAGGGTGTTTAGATTGGCCATCTTATTTCTACACCAGGAAAGAACTACGTCATATGCATAACGTTGTTTGTTGTTCAATGATCTTACAGTTTTTCGTAGATCGTCGTCACTGATTTCTAAGGGTTGATTATAAGAACATATTCCAGAAGATGGTTGAGCTGATTCAGGATTTGATGCAAGATGTTGTGGCAACGATTCGTTAAATGACTCGGTTTCATCAGAATCGTCAGGTAAACTTTGTCGCAAATCTTCATTTTCCTGGTCATTTATTGGATCATAGGAGTGAGTTGGTACGCCATCAAAGTTTCGTAAATTTTCTAGTGCTTGATTAATAGCATCCCCATCTGGCTCAAATATTTCTTTGTTGCGTTGTACTACCTCTTGAACATCTGGCTCATAAAACTTAGATATGTATGTATGGTCTTCGCCAAAGAGTTCCTGCTCGTTACGCCACGGAAAATACAACATGAGAAGGTGGTGAAAATATTTTTCAGGCTCTTTTCTTTTGTTTGGAGTGTGATATCGAATGACAGCTTTAATTTTTCTGCACTTCATAATTTCTCTGCTGTTTACAAGTTTTATTCGATCGGGAAGTCGAGTGTTATGATTTTCGATATTTTGAGATTCAATGAGGTCATCGGTTAACACTTCAGGTTGAGAATCAGATACTTCGTTAAAATCACTTTTGTAATCTTTGAAATAGCAGCAAATCGCAGCAAATAAAGCTAAACACATATCATTAACGACAGGAATGTTTTTCGGTCTGTCACTGTAACGGACAATAATGTTAGACTTAAAAATGTCAGTACTATCGTCATCTAATTCATCAAGTTCTTGTTGTTTCTTCGCAAATCTAACGCGATTTTCTGCAAAATCCGTGCTAACAAAGAGAGTTTTCGGGAATATTTTTCTTAACCAAAGTTCAGGCATGCACCTGTAAACGCATTCTTGAGCACTGACTTCACGAGTCGAGAGAAAAGCTGCACCTATTTTTCTTAGGCCATCTCTGAGATTTACGTTGGCTTCTTTAGCCTCTTTTGCTGCATTTATGATGGCTTGAGAACATTCAGTTTCATCCTTTGTAAAATAAGAACAAACGTATGTGATACACTTGTAATGATTAAACACTGGTTGCAAGTCAACATTTGCGGCAAATCCTTTTAACCCAGCAATAAAATAATTGTTGATAAAACAACTATCTATTGGTCTTCTGAGGTGCAATTCATAGTCAGAGTCTGGAGATAATGATATAGCCAATTGATAGTCTTGCTCTGTAACATCTATATCGTTTAGGATGTCAGTTGGAGTTGCATGTGGATCATAAGTAGGTTTGTTTGGGTTTAGTACATCATCAATTTTTTGTTTAACTTTAGACAAAATTTCCTTTCGTCTAGTTAGAATATTGGATTTAATCTCTTCATCCATATCTTCTGCCAAAGGTTCAGCAACAATTGTCGAGTCAGTAAAAAACTGTCCAAAGTTAAATCTACATGCAACGTTCTTATACTTTCTACAGGTTTTCCTGTGATTATGTGTCTGGTATGTTTTCACTAAGTCATAAAGTTGAGGATCTGTTTCTTTGTCGGGGAGGTATGCTTGTGCATGTTGGTCAATGTAATCTATGTATGCATCTTTTGTATCATTCGTTAAGTCTGGGCAATCAGATGTCCATATTAAGGCATGCAAATGTGGTGAACCTCTCATTTGAAATTCGATACGGAGTGCATAATATACTATCTTACCAATTGGGTTTGCATTTGTAAGCAAAACATCCCTGAAAAATGTTTTGACTCGATACTGGAAATGTTTAGCTACAATAACTGGATTTAAATTTAACATTGAGCATCGCTCATGATAGGACAGAGCATCCACTTCTTCATCTGTCATGTTGTTACCTTTTGTTCTTGCAATAATCTGAAATAGCTCAGGCCATCTTAAGTCTGCACATAAAAGCGTCATAAACCATGTTGGTATTCCCAGTTGTTTAACCATTGCTACCACTTCATACATGAATTTTTGCCAGTAAGAAGGTGAGCCAGGAATTTGTCGTAAAAACAAATATGCTTGATCTTGCAAAAGAAGATTTTGAAAAGCTTGACTGTTTGATTTTACTTGTGATGCTGTGACTGACTGCCCATGTATTTTTTTAAGAGCTATATTTATACTATCAGAGATCTTTTTCTGTTCCATAATGAATTGTGCAAAGAATAGATACTCTGGATTGGTTGCAAATTTCCCACTATAATGCAAGAGGCGAGCATTGAAATATTTTATTAGAGATAATTTTATGTCTCGTTCAACGGTATACCCAAATCTTCCTTTTGGAAACAGTACTGGAAATGACAGTTCCTCACAAAGTTTATCAGTCATCAATGATACTGGGTGTTTACCTTCACCTGGTGCAATGTTGAAAATTTCTCTACCTGTTGAATTATCACAGTTTCTATTGTCCACGTTTACAGGATAATTTGGCAAAATAGACTGAAGACAGGTTTCAGTTGCAGCTGACCGGTGTTCATTTAATGGATCATCTTGTTCTTCAGCATCTTCATTGAGAAGTTCTCTGTTTATATTAGTTTGCAAATGCTCGTCTACATTTTCGAGATCTGTAACAGGACAGTTCAAATTAGTCAACTCTGGGCTGATGTTGGCACATTGAATTTCAATGTTTCTATATAATGGATTGTTTGCTACAAGCCAGTTTAATGCACTAATTACAAACTGAGGGCGAACTGCTTGAAAGTAAACATGACCTCTAAATTGAAGTTTCCTTTTTAATTTAAGTAAAATTATCCCAGATCTCTCAGGTGGTCTGGGAAGAACATTGCATGTTTGACTACATTCAACTGGTACATTACATATTGCACCTTTAATTTTTCTTTGTTGTCCTTTTGGCATTATTACAATTTTTTCAAAGACTATTCTCTGGGCAACAAGAATTTGTTCAAGTTTCTCTAATGCAGCAAGTTCAGTAGGGGTTTCATCAACAAATAAATTGTTTACCACAGCTTGACAAGGCTGTTGACCTTTAAGTAATTTAGCATGGCATGTTCTGCAGATGTAGTTTTTGCCATCAAAAGAATGTTGAAGCATAAAACAATCCTGGCGAGGATATTTATTTTTCTGTAGGATTACTACTGAATTTTTATATAGTGTTCGGTTACACACACAGCATATGTGAAATGGGCCTGATTTAATTTGTTTTTTAAATTTTTTAATGTACATGTCAATGTCATGAATTTGAGATTTATTTTGCATCCGTTTTTCTTTCAACTCTTTTTTCTTTGATATATCTATTGCTTGATATTTGGCTCTCATGTTTTATAATAGTTTCTGTTTTTGTTCTTCTCCCATTGTTTCCTTATAATTCATATTTCTAGTAAGCAGTTCCTCTTTCTTTGAATGATCCATTTCATTATATTTTTTTCTTTTATTCTGCTGTATTTTTTGCTTTAGTCCTTTATTCATTGTTTTTCTATAATTCATATTTTTGGTAAGCTGTTCCTCTTTCTTTGATTCATCTAACTTTTCATATTTTGTTTTTCTGTTTTCCAATATTTTTTGTTTTTTCTCCTGAGCCATTGTTTTGTACTTCATCTGCTTTGTTTCTAGCTTCTGTTTCTTTAGAGCTGGTTCAATGAAGTCATTTATATAGTTTTGTCTGTGGTTTTTCATAATCCTTTTTCTTTCACAGTTACTCAATTCAGAAGAACAAGACAAAAATTGAATTTCATAATTGACAATTTCATCCTTGATTTTGGTTGTTACTAGTTTAAAGATAGTATCAACTAAAGTGTGCTTGTCTTTTATGTTTTTAATGTAATGTGCAGTACATGTAGGTGAGCTATCATCATCATCATATGCTAATATTGAGTACGACATATTGTTAATGGATGTCTTTTGAAAGATGCAAGAAATACAATAATCTCCAAACCAAATTAAAAACCCTGTATTTTCATTAGTATGACAAATAAGGCTTTCAATGTGTAGTTTGCTTTTTGCCTTGTCATCAACTACTCCTTGAATATTAGTTTGCAATTTTACATGTATTTCATTTCCACATATTTCCACTTTTTGTGGTATATCATGAGATGTATTTATCCCAGTGTTGTTATACAAAGTAGTGCCAAAGTAAACAACTGCAGCCACTGTATTTGAATCCCAGTAATTACAAGGTTTAATGACAGAATAACAAATTGAGTATAATGAAATTGCACAGCATTGTTTATATAAATAAGAAACGTCAGTACTTTCAGATTCTTCCAAAGCATTACCTGATAGATCAGAATTTCTAATAATATTGTTTAAGTTCTGGTCACCATTGGCTTGTACTTCTTCAATATTTATTCCTCTTAGCTCAAATTGACTGTTTTCACCATATAAAGACTGGAAATACAGAATTACATTGTTGATATTTGGTGCCTCTAACAGCACACATGTACCTTGTGGATGACTTCTGCCATAAATATCTCTTGAATGAGAGTCAAAAATTTTATATTTGCCATCATTGGTAGAAAATATGCAAACAGCATTGGAGTCAATTGTTAAAATGAATGCAGAATAGTTTTCAGCCAGGAGCAGTTCAAATGATCTGTGAAATGGAACACAGAACTGATACCCTTCAATAGAACAGTCTCCAATTACATTACCACTATAGCTCTCACTGTACTCAAAAATATAATCTGTGTCAAATACTGTAAGTTGTGAAGGCAATTCTGTAAACAATAAAAACGATTGCCGTACTAAACATGATAAGTTTGAATATAGTTCATTACCGATATTCATTATATTAACCAGGTCTTGTGGTGAGCATATGTTCTGTCTTTTGTTGCATATAAGGGCACATAAACACATTGCTAAACACTGCTGTCCTGCTGTTTGTCCAAATATAACCTGATTACCTTGGCTATATGGTGCACTGATTGTCTTACTGGGATCAATATAGAATACAGGTCCAGGATTCGTCTCAATATCTGTACATAATGCTGACTGACAGACATTCTTTAAGTGGTTGACATTTTTGTATACCTGTTGTGCATATAAATCATGAGTCGAACCTGATAAATAGAATATATCTGCAAGAATTCCTTCACAAATATAAAATTTTAAATTTTTTGCTGAATGATTTGTGCAGCATTTCTTGTGAACCTTCTTTGGGCAGTATACATCAGGGATACACTTCATCCTAATGTCTTGGCAGTGCATAATATTCTCTACTATATAATGAAGATGAGAGGATCTGGGTACAGACCTTTTGATCTTATGTCTGAGACGTTTTCTCAACAATCGACTTTTTCCAAACTTCCTAATTAACCATTTTACCTGTATTCTACTGGGTTCACGGTCACGGTGACGTAAATGGCAACCAGTGGTAGTAGCGTCAGTAACATGCTCTTGTATGCAGACATTATAAAATAATGCATATCGTGATCGCACTGGAAGTTTCTTTATACGCATTGGATTGATCTTTGACAGACCTGTTATTTCAGTATTCTGGTTATGCAATTTAGAAATACAGTTGTTAGATATATTTATACCTGACATACATTGATCTGTGCCTGTGAACACATTCTTGTTTTCCATATCATCTTCGCTCAAAATTGTTGACAAATTCTTGGTTGACCATATCTGTTCAGACGATATCGCATTGTCCATGTTCTTTGTAGCCTTTCTACTGGCGACCATGTTGACCATGTGCTCGTTGACAGTATAGCAACTTGATTGTGAGTTTACGTTTGTTTTTTGTATATTTGTCTGTGTATTTATATTCGTCATTTCAGTGGTACTTTTGATTTCAGTAATACTTTTGATTTCAGTGGTACTTTTGATTTCAATGGTACTTTTGATTTCAGTGGTACTTTTGATTTCAGTGGTACTTTTGATTTCAGTGGTACTTTTGTTTTCAGTGGTACTTTTGATTTCAGTGGTACTTTTGATTTCAGTAATACTTTTGTCACATTTTTGGCAACTTTTTGTGTAACATAATTTTTGGCAATCTCTGGAATTTATTGTGGATTCGTGGATAATCGACCCTGTTCGAAATTGCTCAGCATCTTTTAGTGTAGGTCTACCACGAATAGGTGCAGAGTCATGCGAGGTGAGCGTATTTGAAATTAAATCACATTCACTTACCATAAACATCGTCGAAAAATCACTTTGTTCCCAAAAATCAAAATATAAAACAGCGAAGTATAGAAAACTTTCGATTTGCGAAGGTTGCTGTTTCCATGTCAATTTTGGTAAAATTCCTTGTAAAATTGTTCAATTTTCCCAAATTTTCCTCAAAACGCAGGGTTATTTATGGATAATTTGGGTAAAAATTGGCAGGAGCCTTATGGATAATTTGGGTGAAAATTAGGCAGCTCATTAATATTCTATTTTGTGGCTATCGACGATTGCCGATCCAAGAACAGAGCCGAAACCTATACTCGTCTGGGGCACAGGTGCCCCAGCGAGTAATAATTCAATATATAAAACCTCTCGCGCGCAAATTCAAATTTAGCAATAGCATGCAGACAGCCACAACAGGCTATAACAGCCACAAGATAAAATGAGTAAATACGGTCGATGTACGTTATAATTATATGATATAAACAGTAATATTTCATACCTGAGATCAATAAGCCTTCGGCAGGATTCGGAGTCACTTATCCAGAACCAAATATGATAAAAAACACGATATTCTTGAGCGAAATATGCTCAAACGAAAAAGTCGAAAATTTGTAAATCACACTTGATACTTGATATACGATATCCCACAACTCATTGCGCGCGTGGCCCTTGTCTTCTAAAATACATACACCAAAAAGCGCTCCCAATCTATCGCTAGCTTGAAACTATAGGAAGCATTTATAATCTGGCCAAAAAAATGATTATAAAAAAATGATGAAAATTCTTATAAGCGAATAATGACACATATTTTCTAAAAAACTTATATGCCAATTGCAATAATATAAAATTTGTATCGTTTAACGTATCGCATGTATGTTTGCGATGTTACTCTGAGTGCATATCCACACCGGACGAGCTTGAAAAATATGCCCGGCCACGGTGGGATTCGAACCTACGACCTTTGGAATACTAGCCCAATGCTCTTCCATGAACTGAGCTACGCGGTCAGGACGGTTTGAGTAAGTGATATTTCGGAATAATGTCATAATATTTGACAGCATTAACCGTGATGTCATAACATGTCGGTGATATTTACGCAAAATCTTGGGTAAATTTACACTTCATTTTTTGCGGTGGATCATACCATCTTCATTAAAGTGTAGATAGACGATTGTTGCAAATGATTTGAATTCATATATAATTGTTATTTTTCAATAGCAGCAATTCATTGGGCATATTCAAATTCATTGTGATATCCGCCATGTTGAAACTGCGACAATTCAGGACAGAGCCGTTCAGCTTCAAATTTGACAAAAAAGTGAAAGATATACAATATTACAATTAGGTTTATTCAATTCAATATCATATCTCGTTTTAGCCATGCAAAAGTTGCCAAAAGAAAGGTTTTGATATATGCGATAAATAATATTAAACTTTATTTCAAGATTGTTTTTCTAATTATAAGAATATTATTCTAGGATGGAAAAATGTTATTCTTAAAATAAGAAAAATATTCTCTTGAATATTCTTGCCCAGTTATATTTTCTTATTTTAAGATTTTTGTTCTTAAAACTAGATTTTTTTTCTTGAAATATTTCTTGATAAGAAATATTTACTTAAAATAAGAAAAATAATCTAAAAAATAAGAATATTATTCTAGACTAGAATTTGATTTTTTGCAGTGTGTATTAATATTTCATCTTAAGTTATTAATTGGGACTTTCATACTTGAGTCACTTTCTCATATTTCTGCATTTATTTATTTTTGGTTCAGTTATTGCAAGTCAGGGATGCCCAAAAGACTGGAAAAAATATGGCAATTCCTGCTATCTATTTGTCATGCGACAAATGAGCTGGGGAGACTCCAGAGCAAATTGTTTAGCATTTGGAGCTGATATGGTTTCTATCCTTGATTCCGCAGAAAATGATTTTATTTACCAGCAAACCAAAAATGTTAGTGCAACATCCAAATTCTGGATTGGATTAATCCGCAAGAAAACGACTATTGATCCAAAAAAAGGCTGGGTATGGAGTGATGGCAGTGATTTTACAAATTCACAGTGGAGGCAGGGCGAACCAAATAACTACGGGAAAGTTCATGAAAATTGTGCCGAGCTTTTCAAAGATGGCAATAAGGCAAGGTGGAATGATAATAATTGTGCCAATTCATTTTCTTCCATTTGTAAAAAGAATAAAGGTAACTTGGCAAGCTCAATGTACACGGTACCGACTTGTTAAATAAAATATTAAAATAATGACAAATTAAGCAGTTCGTCGACGTTTTCCGCTCTTACTAATTTGACATAGAATTGTATGCGACTGTCGCGAGTTTATTTAATGTGTGAGAAGAAAAATTTTGATATGGTAAGGATGCGAGCGAATCCATTAACTGTTAACTTTCTTCGTTTCAGTTTTTCAAACTAGCGAATTAAAATTTGAATTAATCACGGACAGCCGACACGAGAGCTTGGATTCTGAAATACCCTCACAAGCCCAATTATATTCACGAGAATGTTTGCTGTAGTGAAGTAACAAAGTTTAATTTAGCTATACCAAGAGTTATCTGAAGACACCCAACTCCACGTTATATAGCTAACATCAATCTTTCAGGACCAACTAAACCACAGAAGACTGAGGCTCGCGCTCTATTTATAAGGAGCGAAGGAAGGAAAGATGCAACCAAAATAGCCAGACTTAACATATGTCACACGAAACTATCCTCGATTTTTCGCCTATAAATGCATTTTCTTCAAGAATAATCGATATTCCCTTCAAGAATGATACAGTATAACTCTCAAAACAACGATGCTTTAATCAAAGAGCTTAAATTCGCTAAAGGGAATGACAATATTCGGCCAAAATATATCCGCGCGCAAATTTGCAGGACAACTCAAAATACACTCAAACCGAATTGGACAACGCAACGAATATCCCCTCCCGGTGGAGAAAAATATGAAATGTTTGTTGATATTCGTTGTCCAATCAGGTTTGAGTGCATTTTGTGTTGTTCAACGACTTCCGGTTTTTGTACTGCAAATTTGCACTCGGATATAGTTTGGCCGAATGTTGTCATTTCCTCACGGATTTTAGAGCGAATTTAAGCTCTTTGGTTAAAGCATCGCTGTTTTGAGAGTTATACGGTATCATCCTTGCAGAGAATATTGATTAATCTTGAAGGAAGTGTATTTAAAGGTGAAACGTCGAGGATAGCTTGTCTCGTGTGACATATGCCAAGTTTGGGCTATTTTGTCGGATCTTTCCTTCCTTCCCTCGTTATAAGGAAGTCAATCAATACTCTTTTTACGCGCAGCAATTTTCGGTTTGTTACTTCTAAAGTAAACGTTTAGTTATACTCTGTACGGTAGCGTAGTTCATTATTTTTGAGCATCTTTACTTTTGTACTTACTGTGTACTTTTGTACTTACTTTTGTACTTACTGTTTGGCAAATTTTGTGATTTTTCGAAAATTTTTGTTATGCTCCCAAAAAATAGGTTGTCCGGAAAATTTTTTTGACCCCTAAAATGGTACACTGACCGAAATTTTTTTGGCGACGGGGGGGCGGGGGGGGGGAGGTCGCCAAAATAATTTTTCCGGAAAAATTTTTGGTACTAGTCGGGCAGAATCCCGAAAAGTGGGGCAATTTTCTTTCCGCCCCCCTAATTTTTTCCTTCCAGTACGCCCATGTTTGGGACAAAATACATTTCTGAACCTTTAAACATTCTGGATGTATTTTTACGTGCGACAGCAGTAGGCGAAGTGCCACGTTGTAGCATTACGCACCACTCGAAAATGACATTTAGGCACGATTACTGTGTAGACAAGAAAAACATGCATGAGTTTCTATGGATTTATTTAACATGACGTATTAATAAACGGGCAACACTGAATGCAGACTCGTGGTGAGCATCACATGTTGTCGCAGGAACATGATAATTTTTCGTTCCGTTGTTTAATTAAATATGTGTACGTACAAGAAATAAAAATTAATAGCTAAAATATTTATTACTTTTACAACAAATTGAAGGTCTGAAATATATGCTGTGGCTTTTGTTATTTTACGTTTTGTAAGCTTTGATTTGATATATGATTTAATTAAACTGAAGAGCTTCGTATAATATTTTGCAATGTTCATTCAACTAAACTGCGTTTGCGGATAAGCTATTTTTGACTTAGTGAAACAAAATAAGAACCTAAAACAGTCACAGAATAACACTTTTGGTGTTTATTCAACTGCTTGAAATTAACTGTGCATATTTATTGTGGGCAAGTTCACGACAAGACGAAAGCAGTGTATTGTGGCTCTGAGAAAGCATTAGTAAGCATTGCTGGCAATTATTCGCACGTTCACCTTAAGTATGTATTTGGTTGGCCACACACATATGAACATGTCTATATCAATTGCTTGATCGCCTTAATGATCTGAGTATATATTATCCAATGAAAAAATGGGTTCTGGCATTTCTTTCGTGCAAATCAAGATATGTTTGTTTCATTGAAACATTAACGCATATGATTTTTTTTGTGTTGGTGTAGTGTACTCAGGTGAATATGATATTTGTCGTGTTACTCTGAGTGTGTATCCACACCGGGCGAGCTTGAAAAATATGCCCGGCCACGGTGGGATTCGATCAAGCTCGTCCGGTGTGGATATACCATTGGTATTGAAGGAACTAGATTCTGTTCCGAAATATCACTTACTCGAACCGTCCTGACCACGTAGCTCAGTTGGACGAGCATTGGGCTAGAATTCCAAAGGTCGTAGGTTCGAATCCCACCGTGGCCGGGCATATTTTTCAAGCTTGCCCGGTGTGGATATATACTCAGAGTAACACCACAAATATTATATTATTAATGCATATATCACTGTTTCAAAAATCTACAATTTTCTTAAATTACTTTTTCAGTGAACGCAAGTCAAGAATGTTCAAAAGACTGGAAGGAATTTAGCGCTTCATGCTATTTCATACCCTATATACAAGCGCGAGAAATGAGCTGGGAAGACTCAAGAACAAACTGCTTAGGATATGGGGCAGATCTTGTTTCCATTCTTGATTCCAACGAAGTTGATTTTGTCCACAAGGAAATAAACAAACTAGGGAAGTATTCGAAGTATAATTTCTGGATTGGGTTACTTCGTAACAAAACTAAAAAGAATGCCTGGATCTGGAGTGACGGCAATAAGTTAACAAATCCTCAGTGGATTAAGAACGAACCAAGTAACACTGACATGATTGAAAATTGTGCCAGTCTTTCCGCATATGGCAATTGGACAGAATGGAATGATGTTCATTGTGCCTACTTATATTCTTCTGTTTGCAAAAAAGAAAAAGGTAACTTATGCCCGTCCTTTCCACATAATACCGAATTTAGAAAAATATGTAAAAATAATTATTTATAACCAATATCATGCACAATCACATTTACATTTAATAACACATCATCCTATACAAATCTTTGTTATTTCTACATGTTATTTCTACATTCGACTGAGTCATTTCTTCCGGCCTACTCTTGCCAAACACGAACTGCCCAGATGGTGTTGCATGTGTCTTGTCACCATATAAGGTATCTTCTCAATACGCGTTTTTCAAGATTCTTTTCTTTTTTCTCTGTTTCGTTTAAGGACTCGGAATCCCGATGCTTCTTCATTTGGTTGCTCTAATCTCTTTCCATAAGTCTACATTTTCTTCTGAAAACGTTTTGAACCTCATTTTCATAAGGCCCCATGCATGGTAACAAAAGTAATAATACACATAAAAATATTACTCGACTGTGATTGGTCGAGTTCAGTGCAGTAAATCCCAAACAGCAGTGCAAAAATCTGTAACCACAGTGCAATTTTCTGTAATCGCATTGCAATTTTCTGTAATCACGGTGCACCTATCTGTTAACACAGTGCAAAAATTTGTAAAATACTGATCTGATTTGTTGAAAAATAATGTGATGATAAAATCAACCGATCAGTATAAAGCAGTCCTCAAATAACGGTCACAGCTTGCTTCAAGACAAAACAAACATGGCGCTGCGCTACAAAAAGTAAAAGATGACGTATTTTTTCTTTTTTAGAAATGGAAATAACCCCTACTTTATTAATCAAGACTAACACATTTGCATATTTGAGTGAAATTTTGAAACTATGGAAAAATTTCAAGTTTTGGATGTTGCAAATTTACAACAAAAATTTTCGCAAACACCTTCTAGTCAATTAGCACCTATAAATTCAAAAGGCCTTTTAGCCTTCCATGTTTGTGCGCAATGCATTTTTAGCGGCAAAGCATCGCTTGACCTAAACACCTTTCGTACCACGGGCCTCTGTTTTAGTGTGTTTATAGGCGCATTTATATTTGAATAAGGCGAACATGTACGAACAACTTATGGGCTAACAATGGTCTAATGATTCCTCGTGTTTTTCAGCAATAGAATTTGCGTCTTTTCAGTCTGCATATCCTGAACTTCCACAGCAAAATATATTAAGACACATGTATAAACGCTATTAATAATAATGTTTGCCAAAATGAAGAATAAAATATGTATAAGAACAGAGGTTTAATATTCCCATAACCGAATTTTGATTTCATTCTTAAAATTCAGTCCACACAGAGATGCGTATGCGAGAAAGGTGACTGGCGGTTCTGGAACTAAAACATTCCCGAAACTCGGAATTAATAAATCCCTGCTATTAGAATCACCGTTTTGTAGTTCAATTCAAGCTATACTCATTCCTCTTTTTACATACTTCATTAAAATTACCGTAAAATGACCCTGCATTTGCCTCGAAGCTGAACCTCGATAAGCGATACTCAATATTATCATGCATTCATACAATAAACAAAGACCTAGCATTTACGAAACTTCTACAAACATTTCTTTTCAGGAACTCAGGAATGCCCCAATGGCTGGAAAAAGTACAATAACGCATGCTACTTTTTTGTCATACCTAAGAAAGTAATCCGAAAAATGAGCTGGGAAGACTCCAGAGCTGTATGCTTAGGTCACGGAGCTGACATGGTTTCTATCCTTGATTCCTCGGAAGTAGAATTTGTTCACGGGCAAACAAATACAGATGCCCTAAAAAACTATAAATTCTGGATTGGATTAATCCGTAAGGAAAAGACCTGCGATGATAAGGATGGCTGGATATGGAGTGATGGCAATAAATTTACAAATCCGCGGCAGTGGAAAGAAAACGAACCGAATAGCTGCCAGGAAAAGTGTACCGAATTTATTGGAAGTAGCAGAAAGTGGAATGATAACAATTGTACAAAAACATTCGCTTCAATATGCAAGAGGACTAAAGGTAACTTACAAAATGCCGGTATAAGAGTATCATAATTGTATAAGATTATCATTGGCATGTTTTTGGTTTCTAATAAGCATATTTTGAGATGGTATTTATATATATATATATATATATATATATATATATATATATATATATATATATATATATATATATATATATATATATATATATATATATATATATATATATATATATATATATGTATATATATGTATAGTGTCTTTTCAATTTCGTACTGTAGCATTGTCCAGATACCATGTTCCACTTTGAAAAGTGGCAACATCAATAAAGAGCATGTCGGTATTTAATAGCGTTTTAGAAATACAAGCGTGACGTCGGTGGCCAACTCGGAAGCTTATGCTACTTTGGTCGCCGTGCACAATTTCAATATTAGAGAGGCTAAGATACCCCGATTCCGGTTTACGGGTACGGGTGATATACACCTACCCGTACCCGTAAATCGGGGGATAATTTGTAACTTAAGAAATCCAAGATACTCCGGCGTGAGAAAACCGATCAGAGAATGGCAACTTTCGCTGTTGAGGTTCGCCATAAATTGTTGAATACTTTGACCAGCATATGTGCATTATATATTTGGGTAAGATGTTGAAAATGTGTACTATTTAAACGGCCCAAAAATAGTAAACAGAAAACACCCGTACCCGTTTGTCGTTTACGTGTAGACCACGGTTTACCGCGGGGAAACGGATAGAAATTACGGGTAAAATTGCTGACATCAGCAAAAATTGGTAAACAAAATGGCGATACTCGCACCCGTAAACCGGAACCGGGGTATCTTAACCTCTCTAATATAATTTAAAACTTTTTAAGGTAATTCCACAGTGTTGCATTGCGCACTTTTACTGCGCACATTTTATAACTGATAATTTCGTCTATTATACGTACCGTTTAAAAATAAATATCATTTTATGACAATTTTATGTTACTTCAAAACATCTTTTCTTACATTCGCCATTCGATATTCGGGCAAAGAATTGCGTTAAAATCAATGTTTTCAAAAAAGCATATAAAACGTAGCTAGGGTTTCCGTGTCTGTAGTATTTATTTACTTGTATTTCACATTTTAATGCCACAATTCTCTTAAACAATCGGTAACCCCCGTTTTTTAACTGATAATTTGTTTCTTTAATGCATTTTACATTTCATATCCGAAATTAAAAGAAAAATCATTTCTGAATCTTGAAAAAAATTCTTTATCAATGCATGTTCTCACAGAAAGATATGTAAAGAAATGTGGAAAAGACATTTGTGACCAGAGAAGTACCAGGCGGGAAACGAATTCTGATAATAAATATTAATGCCCAGCAAAGTGCTTTTAAAAGAGCCATAAACCATTAAATTTAAAAATT